AAAATCCTTGATCTTATTTGCTTAACATACAACAAAACATGATTTTTCAACAAAAATATCGATTTCGCAAGATAGGCGCTGTAAATAGAACTCGAATTTTATTCTACCTATGTACGGCTTTTTAACCTATCTAGCGTACTCTGAGGTGACTTTCTCAGACGTACAAATAATAATATAACTCCAAAATTGGTGTCTTCGAACAAATCGGATAAGGCAAAGTGGAAACTATATTCACAAGAATCCTTATTTTAGTTGTTAGTGGATTTTGAATTGGTATTTTGGTCCAGATAAATATGAAAAAACTGAATAATCCTGACCAGAGAATCAAAAGTACACATTGATCTATCTACCACTGTATGTGATGTGATGAATATTTAGAATTTGAGAGCGTCTGTGATTGTTCTGATCTGTCATTTGTCATATGTATTCGCTTTTCCCGGTGGTCCGCGTAAAGTCAAAGCGGATAATTTGCATCTTTTTGTATTTTGCTTGATACAACTAAATAAAAATTAGTGGTCATTTTTTGACGAATGGATTAATAAAAAATCATCATAGATGTTTACCTCGATTCAATATGAACTAATATGCCTGCAATAATAGCAGACATCTTGACGTGTTCATTTTGCCCACGCCTCCCTTACGTTACGATTAACTTCTCGTCGTCTCAAGAACTAATAACTGACGTATGACGTTATTTCAGCCCATAATGTAAACTGGGCAAGATGGTGAAAAGTAATTATGGCTGAAGCTTCTGAGGCGTCAGATAGTTATTCAGCAGAATAGCTTCAAATATACAGGGTACATAAGTACCACGACAAACTTAATGAAAAGGAAGGTTTTGGAGTGACCTCCCAAATAACAAAAGCCTATATAAAGTGTCACCGTTTTTGAGATATTGAATTTTTTCTTAAATTTTTAAAAAACGAACCTTTTCATCTGTGGACTTTAGCTGCATGTACAAATAAGGTTATACTCTGTTCATTTTTTCTATAAAATACTCCTAGATAGTGGCTTTATCATATACAAATGAAATGTAGTTAAAAGATATTGAGGAACCATAAGAACTATTTTGGGATTGATAACCTTCAAAATAAGTCTATAACGCATAGGTGGCTGTGAAAAATAAAAGCCATGACACTTTTTTTTATTAATCACAGCTGTCAGAATACGTTTAAAATAGTTTTGGGTAGTTAAGGTTTTCAAAATGGGTAAAGGTTATTAGTGAGAACATTCGGTTACTGATAATTAAAGTATTTAATTCTGGGAAATCAAACTCAGAAATTGCAACTTTGTTAGACTTATCGCGGTACAGTGTGAGAAATATTGTTAGAAGATATAACGTAACTGGTTCAGTTAATATTAAGCCACCATATGTGAAAAAAAGTAATATCACAAATGCCGACCGAAGAGCATTAAGAAGAATAATCGTGAAAAACAGGCGTGCCAATTATTTACAATTAAGTGCCCTGTGGAGTGACGCTGTTGGAAGGAGAATTTCGAGGGCCACAACTCATAGAGAGGCCCACAAACTGGGATTTAGCACTTGCAAGGTAAGTTTTCTTATAAAAGAAGTGAAGTAAAAACCCTAAAGTTGTACAACTTATTTATAGGCCAAAAAAAAAGACACTATTAACTCCACTGCAAAAGAAAAATCGGCTTAGATGGGCTAAAGAACATATACAATGGATACTTCAACAATGGTGTGCAATACAATGGAGTGATGAGGCCCGATTCGAAGTTTGTGTTGGTGACAGTCGCAGTAGAGTTATTCCCAAAAAAATGAAGCATTCCATGTTGACTGTCTGAAGAGAAAAGTGAAATTTCCAGCAACCATTATGGTCTGGGGCAGTATGTCATCAAAAGGAGTAGGAAAACTTCATTTTATTGATGGAAATGTGGATATAAACAAATATTTGGCAATTTTAGAAGAATCGCTTTTACCAGTGATAGAAGAATGTTTGACATCCGGCCCAGATTTTGTGTTTCAGCAAGATGGTGCAGTGTGCCATACCTCAAAAAAGGCTATAAAATGGATGGAAGAAAATAATGTACCACTTTTGAAATGGGTTTCTAGCAGTCCAGATCTGTCACCTATTGAAACTTTGTGGCTTGAGATGAAAAAGGTTCTACGACAACATCCAGCTTTGCCAAATCTTGGTTAACACTATGCCCCAATGAATTTCAGCCGTAATAAAAAATAAAGGTGATGTTACCCAATGGTAATCTTTCAATTGTTGCTTTGTTAACTTCGCGCATTTATTCGCACATTGTTTATTTGTTCAGATGTTCTATTAGTTATAGGTCTAAGTTATTTCAAATATGTATTTTTACGACTAGAGTGTATCTAAAATGTTTTTGAGAAAATAAATTGTTTTAGAAGTAAATAGTTTCGACATGTTTAGTTTATAAAGGCATATTTTGGTACAAATCTTGAAGTGGGCCAACTGAAGTGGGAAGGGGCTCGTATATTCAACTTTTTGAGTGTAAATAGTCGTGGTACTTTTAGAGGCTGTTAAACTTTCACAGTTTATAAAAAGTTTTCTCTTCTCGTTATCTAATTGCCTCCCCCTCGAGTAAGACTCCTACGGGCGCTCATAAGAGCATATTTATTGAAAACCAATGCATTCAAAACAAGAAAAACTTCATGCTTATGCCTATACACGAAAAGCTATTTCGATTTTTACCAAAAGCTCCAAAACTTATACTGCATAAAATCTGATATCAATGGCAAGTTGCGTAGTTTATTATACATATTGCATTATGATGTCAAAGTACCAGAAATTTTGACAGGAGTCTTGATGTACTAATTAACTTTCAATTTTTTGAGAATACAAATAACAAATTCCAAGAAACCCCACTCCGCCCCTGTTTTATACTCGTTACAATCCAGATATTTACTCGCCAATCAATTTGCATACTTATCTAAAAAACTACGTGTCACATAATTATTAAAAATTTGAACAATCCGTGAATACAAATCAGTAATGACAGAAAAAATAATCGACGGGGATGGGATTCGAACCCACGCGGGCAGAGCCCATTGGATTAGCAGTCCAACGCCTTAACCACTCGGCCACCTCGTCTAACGATATCGAAATTTCGAGTAATAAGCATGTCTTACTGATAAAGCTGATAATAAAATTCAAACATTAGGTAGACATACATAGGCGTCGCAGTGCAAAGCGTGTTCCGTACTTAAATAGACAATGGGAAATGGTACGTAGTATGAGCCAAGTCCTTTTCATATCTGGAAATAAAAAAGCCCAAAATTTAGTTATTACGGATATACAGAGAGTTATTTAAACACGCCAAATCTTCAATACAACATATCTCAGGCACTATTAAACCAAATTTGCTTAAGTTTTGCACAATAACTAAGTTACCAACTAGTCATGTAAAACTAGATGAACGGAAAGTAAATCCAGGACCGGACTCGACTATTTTTTGTTTTTTATCAAAATCCACACCTTTTAGATTGAATACTGAAATGTTTGACCAATCACAAAAAGGCAATGAGTAGTGCTAATCAAATAACAAAATGGATAAATTACGCCCCTTTTTCGCTTTTTCATAAAAAGAAAACTCATTCAAATATATTATTTTTAGCAATTTATGTGACACAAAACTCAAAATTTCTAGCAATATCAACTTGGTTACACCAACATTTTACACAATAGTGATTAAAGTTGAACTAAAGTTGTTTTGGGGACTCAAAACTCCATGATCGGGTTCAGTTTTAATAAATGATACAAATAAACGCGAAAATCAATGTTATGCACCCTGTTTAGTATTCCAATAATTTTTTTATGATTTAAGTCTACTCACTAATGTTATACAATTCCGAGCCCTGCCTTGAAGGGAAACGGCATTTAATATGCAAATGCACTGAATTTGTCTCTTAAAGCCAATTCAAGATTATGATAAAAATGTAGAAAATCCTACTGTACTCAGTATTCTCTACATAGTCACATTTATGTGCTTTCATCACAACCCTACGTTCGATTGAGGTTAATGCACACATGGTACATCACATAATTGAATGTCAAGTCCGGAACTGCATACTGTGCTTTTGTGGATTTTTTACTTAATTTCAGGTTGGTCTAGAGAGTGAAATTTAGTGGTCTGTATATTAAATGCCATTTCCCTTTTTAACAGTAGCTCGTGCTGAGAAATATAGGTTGGTAGAATTAGATCATTGAAAAAATTACTGAACAGATTTCCCCTTTTATTTATATCATGAGTTGCCCTTTCCTTAATAATATATTCAGAGTATAACTTACAGGGCGTTGCACTTAATAAAATACAAGGAAGTAAAGAAAACCAAATCCGATCCTAGAATCTGGAGTAGGTACCAAAAACATCTTAGTTTCAATTTTAAACATTATTTTGCAAAATGATGAAACAAAGTTCATAAACCTTGAAGTTTTGAGTTTTGTGTCACGTAAACTGCTAAATCAAGATACTTTAATAAATTAAAAAATAACTGAAAATCTAAAATAGGCAATAAATCTATTTGGCTAATTAATTAGCACTTTCCATTGGCTTTTTTGTACATATTCAAATATTAAAAGGGATTGATTCGATAGCTATAGTACGGACTTACCGTATTTTTTATTAAAAACATATAGTACTAGCACCTTGTGAATAAAAAATCAGCTACACAAATACCTCAAATAAACTAGCTTATATGCTGTAACCTTGTTTATTTTTTTGTGACTGGGCACTAATTTCTTGGAGAACATAAATGAGGAAGGTTTGGGGAAAGCATAATAGCTCAAACTTAGCACATGGCATCTGCAGTTTTTTGATTTGCTTTGAGACCGAGTAATTACTCGGCTGAGTAATTTAATACTCGGCGAAGAAGTGTACTAGGTAAAATGGGCCGAGTATGCCGAGTACCGTGTCCAAACCGAGTGCTCAATGCATCCCTACAAAAAATATAAACTGTTTTAGTTAATTAGTGATCCGTTCAACAGTATTATAGAATTATTTTCTTGCAGGCAATTATAGCTGCTTGAGGGTGGAACTGATGTTCACCAGGGACCGAGCCTTTTACTTCACGACAGTATTCATCCCCGGTATAATATTAGTAACGTCATCATTTATCACGTTTTGGTTAGAATGGAACGCAGTACCTGCGAGGGTTATGATAGGTAAGTTGATCGTTTTGATTAGATCAAGTCTGTTCAGCCTGGCGCCCGCGGGCTACACTGCGGCCATCGAACGAGTTTCAAATAATCCTGCGCACCGCCAGTTTCCTTTACAAGGCCAAAATTGTACACTTCTAACTATGTTCAATTGATAAGCCAATTCAAAGCAAAATTAAATATATTTTCAATTAACTTAGTCACAGAAAATGTGATGACCTGTTTCCCACACCAAATTATTTGAAAGGGAATGTCAATATTTCTACTGTCAATTGTACAAATCTAAAATTAAAAACTTATTGCAGTCGTTTGGGAGCAGATTTCACGACGTTGATAGTAAAACACAAAATACGGAAATTATTAGTCGTTTCATAACCACTTTTCTGAAATAATTAGTTATCCTGCCAATATTAGTTGGAACTTACTACTGAACTGCAAAATTGTTATGCGCTAAAAGTTATATTATTTATAAGAATGAAATATTACTAAATCGATAAAGAAGCCATGATAACACAGTCATTTTATATAACAATCGATAGAGAGAAGTGAAAGGTTACTCTAAACGGAACGTACTTAAATCCACGGTTTTGAATCAATGACGTCCCTCCTGTTTATGACAATATATTCGAAGTTGTGCTTAGCAATTAGGGCAGCTCTAATAGATGTCTGACCACTACTGTACTTTACGTTTCGCTAAACAGAAGAAAAGCGAAATATTTATCTGGGTTCCTGTATACCTAATGAGATGAAATGCTACGTATTGAGTAAAGCAATGTAACGTAAGCAATAACAAATCGCGCCGCGGTTTTCTTCCAGACTAGAATGGAATATTCTGAGCCAGAGAGTCGAATTATGTTGGAATGTGTCTGCTTTAGAATATTAAAAAACGTGTTAGTGAGGACAAATCGGCTGATTGCCTAACATAACCTGCCCAGTATCTATAACGTTCAATATTTATTGATGAGGTAATTTATTGTAAGATGCGACTAGCTTAGAGTAGGGCTACCAACACCTAAATTACCAACGCCGGGCAAAAGTTTCAAAAACCCATAACATTTGGGTGAAATTGAGATATTTTAGCGGACACCAGATTTTTTATAATAGAAATATAAACATCTGTAATTTTCAATTTTTTATTTATTTAAACAGTTTGTTAGCGATTTGTTTAACAATGACAAAAATGTCTTAATCTTACAGCTTAACAAATAAAAAGTCAGGTAACCAAATAAGTTTGTGCGGATGTTTGTAGAAAAATATAAATTTTTATTGAGAAACAATGAGACACTATTTAATCGTCGAAGTAATTACCATCACATTCAATGACCTTTTGCCAACGTGGAATCAATTTTTGTATGCCGGTATTGTAGAACTCCCTGGATTTGGAGTCAAAAAATTGGCGGACTGCATGTATTACACCATCTCGAGTTGTGAACTGTCAGTGCCACATACAGTTGTCAAGAGACAAAAAAAGGTGATAATTACTGGGCGAAATGTTGGAAGAATATGGCGGGTGCGGTAACGTTTCCCAGCCGAGTTCAGAAATTTTTTCTCGGGTGACTTTTGCGGTATGAGGCTTAGCGTTATCCTGCAAGAATATCAGTTTTTTCCGATTGATCAAAGAAGGCTGTTTCTGGATGAGTGCTGCTTGTACTTGTTGAAGCTGCTCACAATACAAGTTAGCAGTGATCGTTTGACCCCTTTCCAAAGAGTCATAATGGACAATTCCAGTTGCTGTCCACCAAACACAAACAAAACCTTGTTTGGGTGCAAGGGAGCCTTGGGCGTGTGTGGTGCCGAATCAGTAGGCGACAACCAATGATACGAACACTTAGAATACGAATACAAGATCCATTTTTCGTCGCAGGTTAATAACCGATTAGCGTTGCGTGAAATGTTTGCTGAACAAATGGTAAGACCACTTAATTTGTTATCATTCGTCAGTTCATGTGGGACCCATTTGCTTAACTTCCACGTCTTTCCTAGCTGATAAAGATGCAGACGCAAGTTCTTGGCACGTTGTCCTGGAATTTGCATCCACAACCTGACGAAGATCCTATCGATTAACAACCTCCATGGCAATGTGCGATATACAGCAACCGCACGAACTTATTTGGTTACCTGATACTCAAGTCATTACAAATAAAATTATGCTCTTTCTAAAGTAATCTGGCAACAAAAATAGTTAGGCGTCAAATCAAAAACAAATTTTAATTATAATTTTTGTTTCCGTAAATAATAAAACTAACATAACATTAGTATGAAACAAATTATATCACTTAACTGGGTAGGCTAGGCACCCAAAGCCCTAAAGTAAACCGGACTAATGACAGCCCTAGTTCAGAGCCGACTATGGAAGTCTGTAGCTGGTCTTATGCATGATAAACAACTGTAAAGGCCGCGATAAAACCCCATACCAGATAATAATAGTAATATCCATAAAACAACGGTATTGAGCTAAATAGTAAATATAACATAGTAAAATGTTGCTCTTTTATAAGGTACAAGATGGCGGAGTTAATTCCTGATGTCGTTGTTTCCTTGTAGCTTCGGCCGTTTTTTGTATCGGCAACAGGCATTTGTGAAGATTAGGACAATCACTAAATTCTTATAAGACAAACTTCTTAATACGTATCACCTATACAGGTGTAACAACAATGCTGAATTTCTTCACGACATCAAACGGTTTCCGGTCCACGCTTCCTGTAGTGTCCAACCTGACAGCGATGAACGTCTGGGACGGCGTCTGCATGTGCTTCATCTATGCTAGTCTGCTGGAGTTCGTGTGCGTCAATTACGTGGGAAGAAAAAGGCCACTGCACAATGTTGTCTATAGGCCGGGAGAGAATCCTGTCACACAGGTTAGTATTGAAGCTGCTAAGAGGGAAGGGGAAGAACTGGATAACGCTGAGTTACAGAACTTTGTCTAAAATTGGAAACTTCGAAACTGTTTTATTGTGTAATATGATGGCTCATCATCCCTATAGACGACAACTATTATCTCAAGAATTGTTTTCGTCTAATGGCGCTCTTTTGTCAAAAATTTACTGTAATTTTAAGATATTTATTTTTTGAAAATTTAGTTTATAAATAATCAAATTTACCACAAATTTTGCAAGTAAGGTTAGTACACATGCTACTATTTGGCATATCATGCTTGTGTGTTTCAATTATTTTTCTCATGGCTAAGTAGATTTCTTTTCTACATACGTATAGCTTCTCTACCAAGGAAAGGGTGCTAAATATGTATTCCTAAATACCTATCAGGGCACAATTTACTAGTTTCCTTTGAAAACAGTTCTGCTTCACCACTGTAGTGTCACTACTTCAAAATTCTGTAATTCAACAGACCGTTCGTTTTTAACGAAAACCCTTACGTACATTGATTTCATACAGGATGTTTCATATTAGTGATAACAGTAGATAATTATGGAAAAACTATGGGTCACAACCAAAAGGAGGGTTGACAACTTTTTTAAGAAGAGTGTTAATATTTAAAGGAAAAAAGTTACGTATGCATGCTACACAGATTGGAGTGTAGGTAATACAGTGCTACTCTCTCATTCGAATGGGTTAAGTTAGCCTCATGAAAATCAGGGTGATGAAATTGATGCACGAATTATAACATAAAAACATTACGTGAAAATTCAAAGATACTGGAGCTCTTTTTTGAATGGAATGGTGGGTCATACGTTTCCTCATCTTAAGATTCTTATGAGTCCTGAAAAACCCTAGACTGGTAAATCACTATTTTTCAAAATAGCGGATTGTACAGAGTGGTCAATATATAACTGTCTGATTTAAATTGCGCGTCAATTTGATACACGCATCTCAGTAGGCAACGCCGTAGTACTTGTTCAAGGCGCATGTGTCCAATTCATCATGGAGCCCTACACGAACCCACAACGCTTCCGTATCGTAAAAGTGTTCTACTTAAATAATGAGTCGATTGTTGCAACGATTCGGAAGCTACGACAAGATTTCGGTCGAAATAATGTGCCCAGTGTCAACATCATTCGTAAACTTAAATGCAGAAATTTAAAAAAACAGGTGAAGTTAAAGACTTGCCAAGTTCGAGCCGTGTTCGAACTGTTCGTACTCCGGAAAGTATCGAGAGAGTTCGTGAAAGTGTAATGGAGCACCCTGAAACGTCTACCAGACATCGTTCTGAGGAACTGGGTATTCGTCGCACGTCATTTTGCACTATTTTAAAAAAGAATTGAATTTGCGGCCATACAAAATTCAGTTAACCCAAGAACGACAACCTAGTCATGTAATATTGCAACTTAATACCCAAAATAACAATTTTCACCGACACTGATAATGAGCGATGAAACCCAATTCGATATGAACGGATTTGTTAATAAGCAGAATTATCGTATCTGGGCATTAGAAAACCCTGTTGTCAACCATCAACGACCACTGCATCCTCGTTGAGTCACAGTTTGGTACAGTGTTTGGTATGGAGGTGTCATTGGACCTTACTTCTTTGAAGACACTGCAGGTAATTCTCTCACTGTCACTGGCGAGCGCTACCGTAATATGGTGTAAAACTTTCTGGTTCCTCAAATCCAACAATTTAACCTGCAAATCATGTGGTTCCAGCAGGACAGAGCAACTTGTCACACAGCTAGGGAAACAATAAGTCTTTTGCGAACAATATCCGGCACGTTTAATTTCTCGATTTGGTGATGTCAACTGGCCATCAAGTCACCGAATTTAAAGGCTCCTGACTTTTTTATGGGGTTTTTTTTTAAATAGGGCTTATGGCAACAAACCAAATACCGTAGAGCAGCTGAAGAACAATATTACGGAAGCGATTGAAACTATTCCTCCCGCAAATGTAACCAAGAGAGCTCAGGTTTACGCGGCTTCTAGAGGCGGACATTTGTCTGATAAGATTTTTCATACATAATTTGTAAGTTTCAATAGAAGAATCAGATCAGAGAAATAGACGTATTTTATTTCATTTCACAAATATTCAAGATATAAACCGGTTCTGTTACATATCGGCCACCCTGTACATTGAATCGCCTATAAGTCAACAACTAATCATCAAAGCGTTATAGTAAGTTATAACAATAGTATTATTTTGGAGAGTCCCACCTGAATCTACTTAACAAAAAATTGACATGTTTTAACAATTTTTAAAAATGGGATATTCAAGAATCAATAACAGGAGATTGATATGATATACGAGCCCCTTCCCACTTCAGTTGGCCCAACTATTGAAATCTTAGTTTTTTTCTTATCAAACACAAATAATAAAAATGTAGTAGAGTGTTATAGGTTTAAAATATTAACAATGAATATTTTGATAATATATAGTAGAAAACACCAACTTTATCACTCCCTAATCAAATTTGCAGCATAAAAATAACACATGTTGCAATTACAGCATATCAACCTATTTTCCTTTCAATGCAAAATAAGTCTATAACGCATAGGTGGCTGTGAAAAATAAAAGCCATGACAATTGTTTTTATTAATCACAGCTGTCAGAATACGTTTAAAATAGTTTTGGGTAGTTAAGGTTTTCAAAATGGGTAAAGGTTATTAGTGAGAACATTCGGTTACTGATAATTAAAGTATTTAATTCTGGGAAATCAAACTCAGAAATTGCAACTTTGTTAGACTTATCGCGGTACAGTGTGAGAAATATTGTTAGAAGATATAACGTAACTGGTTCAGTTAATATTAAGCCACCATATGTGAAAAAAAGTAATATCACAAATGCCGACCGAAGAGCATTAAGAAGAATAATCGTGAAAAACAGGCGTGCCAATTATTTAAAATTAAGTGCCCTGTGGAGTGACGCTGTTGGAAGGAGAATTTCGAGGGCCACAACTCATAGAGAGGCCCACAAACTGGGATTTAGCACTTGCAAGGTAAGTTTTCTTATAAAAAGAAGTGAAGTAAAAACCCTAAAGTTGTACAACTTATTTACGTATATAGGCTAAAAAAAAGACACTATTAACTCCACTGCAAAAGAAAAATGGGCTTAGATGGGCTAAAGAACATAGACAATGGACACCTCAACAACAGTGTGCAATACAATGGAGTGATGAAGCCCGATTCGAAGTTTGTGTTGGTGACAGTCGCAGTAGAGTTATTCGCAAAAAAGAATGAAGCATTCCATGTTGACTGTCTGAAGAGAAAAGTGAAATTTCCACCATCCATTATGGTCTGGGGCAGTATGTCATCAAAAGGAGTAGGAATACTTCATTTTATTGATGGAAATGTGGATACAAACAAATATTTGGCAATTTTAGAAGAATCGCTTTTACCAGTGATGGATGAATGTTTGACATCCGGCCAAGATTTTGTGTTTCAGCAAGATGGTGCAGCGCGTACCATACCTCAAAAAGGCTATAAAATGGATGGAAGAAAATAATGTACCACTTTTGAAATGGGTTTCTAGCACGAGATGAAAAAGGTTCTACGACAACATCCTGCTCGTACAATCACCGAACTGAGACAAAAGCTTCAAGAAATATGGGATTGTTTTACACCAAATTTTTGCCAAAGCTTGGTTAACACTATGCCTCAAAGAATTTCAGCCGTAATAAAAAATAAAGGAGATGTTACCCAATGGTAATCTTTCAATTGTTGCTTTGTTAACTTCGCGCATTTATTCGCACATTTTTTATTTGTTCAGATGTTCTATTAGTTATAGGTCTAAGTGATTTCAAATATGAATTTTTTACGACTAGAGTGTATCTAAAATGTTTTTGAGGAAATAAATTGTTTTAGAAGTAAATAGTTTCGTCATGTTTAGTTTATAAAGGCATATTTTGGTACAAATCTTGAAGTTGGCCAACTGAAGTGGGAAGGGGCTCGTACTGTAGAATTTTTTGATAATTGGTTGTGGCGTTATAAGTGACTCAATACAGAGAAATGCTCAAATTTGACATCCTACCAGTCCGCCATTGGTCCGCTGTGGTTTTATATTCTATGGAGGGATTCCAAAGTGAGATATCAGATAACCCCAATCACTTAATTTTTTTTTTGAAAATGGTACCCAGCCGCAATTCAGAAAATTTTTAAATGCCACTTTTCCGGTAAGATTAATATTAAAGTATTAAATTCATCGCCCTGCAGCCGGGTAACTAGACCTAGAACTAGTGGGAGAGGAGCTTTTTGAACAGCACTATATGTAGGCTTGCATTGATTCCTATAGAAAATAAAATCAAATCAAAATACTGTAAGATATCATGGAACATCCTATATATTAGCTTATTCTAAGAAAGTATTGCTATATTATCTTCTTTAGGGATGAGCGATAATGAATACTTTGTGTGCTGTACATAACCATCTACTAACAGCGCATGCAGTGTGTGCCCATTATATTTAGTGCTTAAGGACTCACCTAAAACATTTGGAGTGACTGTACTAAAATGCTGAAATCGATTTATTGAACATCTATTGAAAGAGTTTTGATGAAAGTACCAAATCAAGTTATAGTTTCAAAAAAACAGAATGTTTTGTGATGGTTGTATAAATTGGAAGTGTTGGTTGTTAAATAATAAATTAGACATTACAGCCTTCCATAATATAGATGTTTTCATGTTTTTAATCAACTGCAGGGATATTCAAAACATCCATTTGGACTTGCTCAACTAATTCAAAACTTTGCAATCATGCATGAGTCAGACTTAACTCATATATAGATATAGGCTAGAAATATTTTAATTATGACCCATAATTTCCGAGTATTCAAAGAAAAAAAGTTTAAGGAGGTGGAGGGGATTCAGGATGACAATAAACTTATCGACATTATATAGCTGATTAACAAAATTCAGTAACATATTTTCTTTCTCGTACAACCCTCATAAAATGTCGATCCATGTTTGTCTTTCAT